TGTGTGCAGGGAGCTTTTCAGGAATACTCCTACTCAGGAGGCTTTGCAAAAGACTAAACTGCTGCTGTCTTTGCCACTGAATGAAATCCTGCAGAGGAACTTCTGAACAAAATATCCTTTCAGTTTCTGCAAAGGCTGGCACACAACCTTTACAGTCAGGCCCAGCACAGCGAAGGGTTTATGGTTGTGAATGTTATAAAAATGGCTTTGTCTGCTCCTTACAGCAACGTTCTTCTGGCCAGGTTCATCTGAGGCTAAAAGGAGTGCAACTTTTTAGAGGGAGGTGAAACGTGTGAGGATGAAGATGAGGGTTCAGCACTGCTCTGAAACCAGGAGCCTAAATCCTCCCTTTGGGATATACACCAGCACAAGTGTGCTCATTGCTGGGGACAAAAGGTACAATGTCCTTGTCAAACAAGGTAGAAATTCTTATGGATATTTACCCACCAAACAAGTGACCCTTTCTCTGATTACGCCTGCTGCCCAAATACTCAACAGGAACTTTATCAGCACTTGTGCTCATAAAATAAACTGCTATGACAGCTACATACAGGTTCTTTTCTTTGACCATTGAATAGCCTCTGACCCTGCAATGAAGAAGCTAAAACTACCAACCCACAAGAACTCTGCCTTTATTTAAGCTGAGCTTCTGGTTTAAATTCACACTTGAAGTATCCTATATATTCCCTATACTGCCCTCCTTTCCATGAATATTATAATAAACCAGTTCTGACTGAGAGTCTCTGGGACAGCAGAGCAGTGAGTGTGTGCTGAGCCTGAGAAATCACCTAATTTGCCTCAGGTCAGAAAGAACCAGTGCTCACTTTTTTCTAGACCTCCTACAGCTTGCCCCAAAATGACTTCTGCCTTCCATCTGTTCAGACAAATGCAGGAGTCAAATCCTGTCATGACCTTGAGCAGCCAAACAGAATCCTATAAAAAATTCAAGCACTAAGGCATGCAGGAATTGTCTCGTCATAACCAATATCCTCCTCATGCTTTGCTAATGCAGTGCAAGCCCAGCATAAGGGAAAGGATGTTCCCAATCAGCATCCCTGAGACCCCACCCTCATCCTGGGAGAGCAATCTTACCTTGTTCTTGTTGGTGGTGTTGGGAATGCTTGTGTGGAGAAGGCTGAGCTCCAGATCAGTCAGCATCTGTCGGGACTGGGCCAACGAGCGCTCCAGCTTCCAGAACAGGGAACTGGTGTCCTGCAGGACACACACAAGGAGCCAGAGTTAGGGAAGGATCTTTTTTTTGGAGGATTTCAAGGGATTATAATGCACCAAGAATCAGCATTTTGATTTGGAAATGTTTCTGTTCAAAGCACTGCAAAGTAACAGACTGTGTCTAACTGCTGGTGTTTCTGATAAACACAGAGCTCTCTCCTAATGCCATTTCAAACAGATTTCCACATGCAGGTATATGGAGCACTCACAAGAGAGGTGCTTCAAGGATAGAGGGGAGAATAAATGAGAAAGAGGGAAAACCAAGCAGAACAGGAAAGAAAGCATGTCCAATAGCTTCTGATAACTGCTTCCACATGTAACCAGATATTTAGTGGAATTACCAATTAGCCAGCATCCATTTTCCTCAAGTTTTTCATTCTAAAACCTTATTAATTTTTTTAAAAACTCATTTATACCTATGCTGTCCAAGACATATTGAGGCAACTAGGAGCTGTTTTTTAAAAAATATGTTATCACCTTTGTCATTAGCCGGCTGTCTCACCATTTGAGTCCCCAGTTGTTCCATGCCTGGAGACATTTGCATTCCTACCATCAGTCATAATTGCCCACAATTCCCCTCAAAATCAGTCAAGGACATTGTGCAATAAGGTACTGACTGTGTTCATGCAGTATCTCTTTGTTGGTTTGGTCACTGCCAGGTCATTGATGTCCAGAGGGGAATCCAAATCAGATAATTTCCCAGAACTTTGAGTCTTGTTGCTCTTCTCAGAGGATGCCAAGAGAGGAGAAGCCAGGCGGAGGGAATCCAGATCCACACTTTCTTCACTGTTAAAAAAAAATTAAGACATTGGCAGAAGCAGCATCACCATCCTTTTTAAACTTTCAAGGGGAAATCATGGCACAACATAAATAACTGTGGGCCCTGGGCCAAGGAAAGCAAGAAGCTTGGGAGATTACCCTGCTCCTCAGAGCATTCCCATGTTTAACAGCTCCCCTGGATCACTTTCATCCTCTGAGGACGAGGGTTTGACTTTCAACCAGTCCCAACCAGCTCCATGACCAAGTGTTTGAGTGTGTATTTAACCTTACAAAGAGCACACAAAAGGCAAAACTTTGTTCTTCCCAATTTCTGCTACTCACTCCCCTCTCACACCCAAATCCTTTTGGTTCTAATCAACCATTAGGCAAATTCACATTTGTAGGTGCACCTTTCAAAGGAATTTCACAGTTTTACAGTCATCTCATGTCAGAGATCACAGGAGAGCTTTCCCAAAGAGGCTTGGATTTATTTATTTTTAAATATAGGAGCAAACCACATTAATCAACTTTTGAACATAACAGAAGCAGAGTGCTAGCCCTGCCTGGACTGGCAAACAATGAAAAAGATGTGTATTTTAAAGCAAATATTCTCTTTGAATTGATGACATTTCAGTAGATACTCTTTATATAATTATTTTGGTGTAACAGTGCATTCCATGCCTGGCAAGACTGTTAAAAATAGGTGCATTTTAACTGACATTCAATCTAGGAAAAAGCCCTCATGAGAGTTGTCAGCTCATGAGTGTCTGCTGTGTCCCATTTCACTTCTCCCATAAAACACTGGGATAAAACAGGCTCTCTTTTAAGAGAGAAAAGCTCATGTCTGTGTTTCTGACAAGGAAAAGTTCTGTGGAGATGTGAGGGAACAAGCCTGGAACAGGGATGTGAGGAGATGAGATGAGCAGGGAAAACACTCTGGTTGGAAAGGAAGGGGACACAGGTTTGATTGTGAGGCAGGGAAATGGCTCAGGGTGGTTTAGTCCAGCCCAGGCAGACTCAACAAGTACCTGCTGATGCTTCATCTGTAAAATGAGAATTGAGATAAAAATCCAAAGGCAGCAAATGTTGGCCCAACATAAATGAAGTCACCCAGTCAGAGCATACAGAAATGATTCCTGCACTCTGGGATTTCACAATCCCCTCTGCCATTGGGGAAGGCATTTGACTGTTAACAGCCTCCTTGTTGGCTGTTCCAGAACTCAGGAACTCATGGCAAAAATATTTGCTGGGATGACAGGGAGGTGCCAGCACCCTTCCCTAAACACAAACTACATCATCAGCACTCTGAAAGCAGCAATGGAAAACTGGAGGATCCAGATCCAAGTCCCAGGAGGAATGCTGTGCTGGTCTGTGCCATTAATCCCTTCACAGAAGCAACGCTCCTGCCTTCCTCCCATGTAGGGTGAGGATTTATTGCCTGCCAAATCCGAGTCAGCAGAGGCTGGAGAGCAGACAGTCAGGGATTTGCACTGAGCCAATCCATCTCCAATTAGCAGGGCCCCAGCACCAAATGTGGGCATCAAGAAAAGTGGAGAGCTCAGCAGCAAATCCCAGATGGGCAGCACAGCTCCCCCTTACCTGGAGGATACCTTCTAGCTGCACTGCCCAGGTTGAATTTGTTCCTTTCCCCCTTAAAATTCACTCAGGGACAAGACAAATAGGGCAAGACAAAAAGTGAAAGCAGCTTTCAGGATGCAGCCTCAAAAGGGATTTAGAGATGGCAGTGTGTCACTGGTGCTGCTGGGGAGCTGATAAGGAAGGTCAGGGTAGGCAGAAGGGGAGTGGAGTCTTTCCAATGATTTATAGGCAGTGGAAATTAGAGAGAGCCCACATGGAGGGTGAAGCTCAGCTAAGGCACATGGGAATGTGCCAGGCCAGCATTCTTTTTCAGTGGCTGCCCATTCACCTTGTTTCTGAACAGGTCTGTCTCACTGCAGCAACAATTCCTACAATATTTCTGTTTCAAAAGCCACACAGAATGAAAGCACCCATACATCAGATCTTTCCATTCCATAACATTAATCTGTTTGGATGCTGGGCAGGCCTGGTGGCAAACACTGTGAGCAGGTTTAAACAGCTGTTCATTTACTGTGCTTGTCAAACCACCAGCTGGAAGGCTCCTCTCCTCTGGCTAGAAAACAGCTATGAAATTGCTGTGAAACTTCAGAAATCCTTCTAAAATAGAGCTGGGTAAATCAATTTTTTGAACAGAAATAGGGGAACCAACAGAACAAATCCACAGCAAGCCCCAGCTCTGAATGCTTTGCTCATGCAGGCACAAAGCCACTCCTGTAAATGCAGAGCAGGTTTTTTATCTCGGAGACATTCCAACATCACTGAGGCACCTGGCTCTTCTTCTGACACTTCTCAGCATTGGGAACCTCATCCTGCTCATCCCCAACCATGTCCTTCTCCTCCCACAGCACAAACAGAAGGATAGAGTCCCACGAGCTGGAGAGTGGACAGATTGCTGTCCTTTAAATCTTGCCATCTCATTTCTTGCCCTGCCAGAGGCAGCAGCCTGTGCTCAGAGCTGTGCCCTACATTCCTGCCCAGCCAAGATGTGATTTCTCAATAGAAGTAACACAGTCACTAAAGCATCACACAAAACCTGCATCTGTTTCTTGCCTCACAGAAAACATCACCGTACAAGTCCAGCTCTGGTCAGAACATATTTTACCCATCAGAGTTATGAGCAACACCTGGGATTTCAAAAAACCTTAAAGATTTTCTCAATTAGTTTATTTGGCTAAGTTATATGGTATTGCAGCTTCTCCTGCCCACACAGCTCTTGGGGATAAGAGAGGAGAAAAAAAATAAATGCATAAAAATAGAATCATGATACTTTAAGAGCTATTTTTATTTTAAATTTGTTACTTTTCAGGTTGAAAAACTAAATTTAAAACAGCAGTTACTCTAAACATAGCTTGTGCTAATACTGAGAGCCTATACACCTAAGTTTCTATATAGTCTAGTTTATGCTTATTTCTTAAAGGCAACAAACTCATAACCTTTGTGAGCAGGTACATTTTATCTCTTGTGCAGTCTCCAAACAGCTGTAATCTCTTCCACGGCTTGTATTTCCATCTCTCTTTTTGGGCTTGAAAATCTCCAGCCATTCCAGATCTGAGAGTGGCTTCCACTGTGTGTCTTTAATTAAAATGAAGTTACTAATACTGGACTCAGAGTCAGACTTGCAAGTGGCAGCAGTCTCTGTGCTCTTTTGGCCAGACTCAGTGTCAGATCTCTCTTCCCAGGTTTTGTTTCCATTATCAGTTTTGTCAGACGTGGTGCTGCTCTGGATTAAAGTGCTTTGCAAATCTACACGAGATTTGATTTTAAGCCAACGATCATACGAAGGCAAAGACACCTCAAAGGTTTTTTGGTCTCTGCTTTTCACTTCATTCTCTCCAATTTCCCTGTTTCTCAATGGCCTCGTGTTGTTTACCTCATGAAATTTTTCACTGTCTAGCTCATCAAAGCTTGACGTAACATCCTGCTTTTCTCCTTCTTCCACAGGCAGGGCCAAGCCTTTCACAGCCTTTTGACAGTGGTTTAACAACGCTGAGGCAGTTTCCAAGTCTGAAGCATTCAGTAACTGTCTATTATCTACTTCACACATCTCAGGGGTGGATTTTACCCTACTTGCTGGAACTGGTGCAGTTCCACACTCCTCGCACATCCCGTGGCTGCCCTCAGTCCTACCCTTGTCTGTCTTGCTGCTGGGGCTTTCAGAGGCAGAGAATGTGGCCCCTGAGCTACAACGGCACGACAAAAACAAGTCAGAAACACTGCAGGTAAAGAGCATCCCCAAGTGCACTCCTAAAGCTCTACAGAACTCAGGCTCTGCCAGGGTTCTGCAGAAGCTCACACACCACCAGGCAGCTGTACCCTGCCAAAACCCCACAGAAAATCTGCCCAGATTTGGCTGTTACTTATCAAAACCAGTCTGAGAGTCCCCTCATGTTACAATCCCAGTATAGTGATTCTGGCTGAACCTCCAGGGTGTGCACCAATTCTCTAAGCTTACTTCCTAAAATAAACTTTGCTTTTTAAATAAAAGCAGTAGGGAGCCAGGTTAACACCCCAACCACCAGACTATTTCACTTTCTAAAAAAAATCATGAGCTGTCTGGCCTGCTACAACACTTGCTCTGTGCCTGATGCCCATGGTCTCTCCTGACCAAATAAAACACAAGGTACTTGACAGCTTCACTGCATGTTTGTGGTCGAGTCCAGCAAAGCCATCCTGGCCCAGCACACACCCCTGTTAGGATGTTAGCTGGGGCTCAACAGTGAAGTCTCTCTTTGAGGACAAACTCTTTAAGAAAAAAACATTTTAAAATGTCTTTACCTCTTTCCACTCGATGCATTTTCAAGTTTTTGCCTGGATTCCTGAGAGCTATCAAAGTTGACATGGAGGAAGTGCAAGTCCCGCTGCTGTTTCACACAGACCTGTCAGAGGCAGTGAGGGGCATTGGTGAATGTCGGGGTGCAGGAAATCATCACCAGGTAGTACCAAAAACATCCCCAAAATGTTTTTATAAATCAATGCCTGTAGTCAAATTATTGACAAAGACTTCCAAATCTAAGAGATCATCTCTGCATATATTTAGGAAAATAATGTTTTGCAGCAATAAACAGAATTTCTGTTTGAAGATTAGAATATTCTTCTAAGATGGAACCACACTGAACAATAAATAAAATATCATTACTGTTACCTGATATTTAATACATGTTGTTATTATGTTGTTCACAGCTACAGAATTACAGGACATGGATGATGATCAAGGGATTTGGCTTGGACTGCAGGGGATTTTTTGTGAAGCTAATAGAGAAGGTAACTACCCATCAATTATTTGCAATTAAAAAATGGAACATGGTTTGAGAACCTCAGCTGAGAGCAGGTGAACACACAAGGTTTAGGTTGTGAAAAACAGACCTGCCAGGACACTGTGTCCCTTACTGTGCTGAGCTCACCTTGGGCAGGCGTGTGGTCCCAAACCTGCTGCCCTTCACGTCACTCAAATGAAATAAATCAACATTCTACAGGGACCCCAGCAAGGCACAAACAGATTTTTGTTCCTTAATCAATACTATCTAGATCTAACTTTTTTACACTGCTCCACACAGGTTTGATGTTCCTGCAAATGCTCCTCTGACCTCGGGGCAGGAGCACAACCGGGGCTGTACCTGTCGCAAACTGGACAATTCCCTCTCAATCCGCACTTGCTTCGACTTGGCAAACTGAAAAAGTTGATCCTTCCTCTGGGCTTCTTCCACTGTTTCAAAAGATAATAATTGTTTTTATTACTTCAGGTGAACAGACACAAAGTCAGTGCATTGCTAATGCTGTGTCTGCAGCAGTAGGAGGTGGTACCGAAACAAAACAAAAGCATTTTCTTAAGATCAATGGGACCTGTTTCTCCTCCAGATAAAAAGAGCACAAAACCCACAAGAAAACAAAAATTCAAGTATTTTCCTTGGACTTTTCCTCAGCAGCTGGCTTCATGTTACTAGCAGTAATACTGTGCTTCACTCACTGATTTATTTAGCATTTTCAGAAAGGAAAAGAGAAAAGGGAAAGAGGGGAAAAAAAAAGAGGAAGGCATAAAGGAAATTCAGTTAATTAATTTTACTTCATGCACGTAGAGAGAAGTGCAGCAAAAAAATTCCCAATTTTATTGGTTTTAAAATAATGAGACACGGCATCAATATCTGACAAAGGTCAAACAGCAGACTAAAAATGATAGGCAAGGAAATTATCTGACAGCAGAGGACACCTTTGGCCACATAATCTTTCAAGGTCTCTGTGGTTGTCCCCAAGAATATTGCAGTGACCTTTCCTATCCACCAGACGTTCTTCCACCCAAAACCAAAGGTATCATGGAGAGCAAGATGCAGTTTACCAAGGCCTGCATATTAAACCAGCCTAAAGCAATCCCATCACCTAAAGAAAGCAACAGAGAAGAGAAAGTCTCAACATTTTCAGCAGAGTCCCCTGAGCCACTCACTCCTCCCTGTGTAATCACTCTGGTGAACTTTGTGCTTTCACAAGATTTTATAAAGTGTCCCTGCAGAAGCCCCAGATATTGCTTCCACAGAAGAATGGCACACCAGGGATGTACTTTTATTAAACTGCAGGTAACAAGCTGCCTCCTTCTCAGATCTCAGTGAATTGCTGCCCAGAAGTCTCTGAGCTGCTGAAAGCCAAGGCATGAAAGGCCAACTGCCCACCCTCACCTGCCAGGATGAGCTCACTCCTCAAGCAGCCATTTTCTTGTTTCAGGTGACTGATTTCTTCCTGGTTCTTGCTGCTCTCTTTCATCTTTTCAGAGAGGATGTCTGCAAAACAAAATGTAGCATTTCCCAGAGTGAACAGGAATTGTGCTGCCCTACACTAAATTAGGTGCCCAGCAGAAACATTTACCTTTCATCTTATTTACTTGGCTCATGACATCGTTGAGTGTCACCTTGAGGTCCTGGTGCTCCCTGTTGCGAGTGAATTCATCCAACTTTGCTGTACGCAGGGCATTCTCCAGGGTTTTAAACTTAGATGTAACCTCAGTAATCTGATCAGTTGTTTCAATTAAGGCCTTGTCCTGAAATAGGAAACACAATGAAATCTAATTTTTAATATCATGGATGGGTTTGGACAAAACAACAGTAAAGTGATCCCCAACTTCCTTCTGAGATTTTGAGGAAAAAAATCCCACCAAATTAAATCTTGGAAGCAAGCTTGTTTATGAAAACAAAGCAGTTTATTGCTGACCATTTTTCCCTTCTCAAACAAGCCTAAGAATTAACCATGAGTGAGATCACCAGGGACAGAAGCCTTGTGGCACAGTCACATTTAGTGCCCAGGAGCTGGCAGATGTTACAGATGTTACAGATGTTACCTTCATCTGAAGCATAGAGAGAAGCTCCTGCTCCCTGGCCTGCAGCTGGCCTGTTTTAGCAGACAGTTCCAAAACTGAGCAGTGGAGACTCTGATTTTTCTCCTAGTGAACAGAAATAAGTGTCAGCCATTACTTCAGTGATTCAAAGTTTTTATTTTTTTCCCAGTAAATGCGTCCACAACGTTATTTAAACATTGTGAGTGGCAATGTGGGATCCTGAGCAAACTGGAGAAAAGAGGACTGGAGTAAAAATTGCTCCCCAACTTGTTTGTGATCAAGGGTCTTAACTACATGTCTCAGTTTTGGAATGTTACAGTTCATCACAGGCACCCTGTAAATTAATGGATTACAAAACCAGACCATCACTCAACCCCTACCTCCAGAGCCTGGCAGTGAACAGATGAATCTGTGACTTTTTGAGTGAGCTCTTTAAACTTCTGTTGTGTGCTTTCGAGTGTTATCTTACTGTCATTATGCTGGGATTCCAATAACTTTAACTTTTTGGTCAGTGATTTTATAATGGCATTTCTCTCGTTCAGCTCACCTGAAAAGGAAGGAGACAAAGTTATATATGAGAAAAGAGCTCAGAGGCTATCATGCAATTTCTTAACTCTCAGAAATAATTCCACCTAGTGATTTAAAATCACACAATTCAGAACTGGATTCTTATGTTGCACACTCTGAAGGAGGATTCCCTGGGTGCCCAGGTCAGATGGAACAGGAACTGCATGAACTGCAGGAACTGAGACTGTTCAGAGCCACCAGGTGTTTTGTGTTTGTTCAGAGCTGTGCAGCAGAGCCTCAGGGCACAGGGCTCTGTAAATCACCAGCAGGCTGCACATTTTTCTCTTCCCTCACATTTATTTAATTAGATTATTTTTTAAAGAATTCACAGAAGCAATTCACACATTCAGACAAGAAAGAGTCTGATCATCACAGCCCCTTCAAGATCAGATCACTTCATCACCACTGTGCAAGTTTAGATGTCAGAGAAACAATACAATTTAAGGCGAAAGGGTAGGAAATGGTTCCTTATGTAATGCAAAACTCTTATGGAGGGGTTGAAGCACCTGGAGATATTTAACACACCAAGATGTCATTCTTTACATCACAGCACTTACTAGTTAACGCGCTGCATCGTTCTGCTAAAGTCAGTATTTTTTGGCGATCATCTTCCCAGGCCTGGATGTGTCTCTCGTGCACTTCCACCATGTCATTGAGCTCCTTGTCACGATCTTTCAGTTCTGAAATTAAAAGCTTGAGCTCCTGTCTCTGCCTCCTAATGATGCTGTTCTTGTGATCGGGGCTAAATGCCTACAAAAGGTGAGACATGGAATGCATTTCAACACAAGGAAGTGACAAATTCTCTCATAATAAACTCGAGGGGTCTATTTTTAGTTGAGCTATGTTTCTATTATAAATAGAGACCATTCCAAGAAGTTCCTTAGGCTTGTGGTACCACCTGTGGCCCTTGACTGAAGCCCTTTGCAGAACGAGGTGGTACCACCTGCGGTCCATGACTCAACCCGGCAGCAGCACAGTGAGCACCCTCCTACCGAAAATAGAGCCGATTGTTAACGGCACTTTCATCTTTTACCTGGGGCGAAGCAGAACGCTGTACTGATGAACTCATAGGGGACTGGGGGCCAGAGCTCTGCCAGGCATTCGTGGAGCCGGGAAGGCTTCAAGGATGTCACGTTCAGCATGGAGGCTCCCCCGCCGCGCACCCGTCACGGCCCTGAGGGAGCACAAGCGGCCTTGGAGCGCACGGGCCGGGGGCGCAGGGCCTGAGGGGGGCCCTGAGCTGCCACCCCCGGGGAGCGACCCCCGCTCCCGGGCAGGGCTCCCCCGCTGTCCCGCCCGGCTGGGGCGGCCCTTCCTAAGCCCATGGGCTTCCCCTGCCCTCCGGCCCCGCTCATGACCCCCGGTTAGCCCCGGTTACCCGCGGCCGCCCCCGACCCACCGGCACCGCCCGGCCCCGCCCGCCGTTGGAAGAAGCTCCGCCCCCCGCAGCGAAGGGACCGCGGGTTCGAATCCGGGGGCTGCCGGTTCGACTCCTGGAGCCGCGGGTTCGAATCCCGCAGCCGCCTCCTCACCCCGGGGACCGAGCTGCTAGAAAATTGTGATAATTAATAACGCTGTTAATACGGCATGAGTAAGAACCAGGCCGGAATATTATGGGTTGGAGAAAACTTCTCTGTCCAGCGTTAAATGGGAGGACTGTAGAGATGCAGGCAGCTCTGGAGAGACACTATTTCCAACGACAGGGATGGAGTTATCTCTCCAGACACACCCATGGTTTATAAATAGAAATCACTAAAAAAAGCAACCTTACAGGAAGAGAACAGAGTGTCTGACACATCACCCCCTTGGCTTTCCTCTGCAGTGACAGAAGCATGTCACTTCCAGGACCCTGCCACCAGGGAGCATTTATTGTTATTAAATGAACAGTGAAACAAAAAGCTCCAAATCTATGCTCGAGGCTGTTTGTGGGAGTACAGACAGCAGAGCTGGCACCCCACCCCAACTCTGCTAACATGGCCTGTGGAATAGTGCTCACTATTAATTTGTGTTCATTACTACCACTCTCGAATGAGCTGCAGGTTAAAAGCATAAAGCCATTAATTACAATTGCCTCACCAAGAAGCCCAGCAGGGTTAGGAGATCTTCAGAATTATGAAAATAGGATAAATTTCTAAGTAATATTCTCACACTTCTCAGTGTTTCCACTAAATCAAATAACTCAGTTGGCAGGGATGTAGAATAACCTCTTCAGGATTCACTGTTCTTTCACTGCTTACCAACCTTCAGAATGTTTGTTCCATTCTGATTTCTAAAATTCTCTGCAGGTAAATGAGAGGTAAAAGTGTCAACATCAGCCACACGCCTCATGCAGTTAAGCTCAGCAGAAAGGACAGCAGATGAAAACCAAACTTTTAATGCCTTAAATTCTTATTTTCCCATAAGATAGGTAGAGGAAAGCAGATGTAAAAAACCTCAGAAACTATTCAGTGAGGAACAGTAATTTTATTTAAATCTACTTCATGCTTAAGCATGGTAGAACCCCAATTTAACTTTGGCAAATATCACAAAAAAAACCCCAAAAACAAAAAAGAAAACCAAGCAGCCTATACAGAACAGTGAGAATGCCATGGACATGGGTTCTCCACAGTTTCACTGCAGAGCAAATGGATTTAGAAGCCTCACTTTTGCTATATCATTTATAACCATATAATTAAATAAAGGTAGTCCTCCACTATCACTTCTTGACTTCTCCAAGATCTTCAATGCTGTCATCATCCACCTAGGGAGAAAAAGCCACAACACAGCAAATTAAGTATTTTCTTTTTACATCCTTTAGTGTACACCCTGTAAATGTAAAGAAGTGAAGAGCCCCATTGCAGATCCCCTGCTGTAAACCCTGGGTGAGTGACACGTGCTGCCAGGACACAGCTGAGCCTGCAGGGCTGGGAATAAAGACAGCCCTATGGACTTAAACCATAAAGAATTCCACTTGGGAAATGCCAGGACAAGGCAGAGTCAGAGAAAGCCCTTGCAAATACAACTCTCAGCTTTAAATTTCAGTCCAACCCACACTGGCTGATCTCTTCTGAAGCACAAATGTGTGAGGCTTGGGGCTTTTTTGTTTGTTTTAATTTTGCAACATTTTAGGAGGTGTTGAAAAATAGGATGGCAATGCAAGAATACTTAGACACTCACTGTTAAGAAATGGTCACAAAGAAGGCACAGATATTTGACAGCTGCATTTATTCTGACATGCCACCCTCACTGTAGGGTGGGAATGCAACAACTGCTCTTTTATTTTTGTGCACCAATCTGTGCTGCCAAAGATGAATCCCTTCTCCAAAATCATTGGTAAATCACAGGCTAATGTGGAAAAGTGTGTGTCTACCTGAGAGAAAGAAAGGTTTATTACCTCAGGCCACTTCTCCTGGATGACATCAATAATGTCATCTGTGAAGTCCCCCTGAATGATGATTTCATCTTCTCCTGTTACTGAGGCACCGCAGGAAAATTTCTGAGCAAAAAACCTTTGTGCTTCCTTAAGATCAATCTCTGCCCAGGGGAAAATGAACAATTTAAGTACAGTTGTTGTCATAAAAATATTTTCTCAAGATTAAAGCCAAAATCTTGTTTTAACTTGAAAAAGTAGTGGCACTTCACAGCTGAAGCTTTGCTAGAGTTTCCACTGAAAGCCAAGTCTGTTGTTTACACCCAAAACATCTGACTCTGCTGAGCTACAAATGCTTCAAGGTAGAAATTGCTGAATGTCCTCTACATGTTCTCTTGAGGTGAGTCTGCACCCTATTTCAAAAAAACCTGTAACCCTCTTTGTCTTTATTAAGGCAATAAGTACCTTAATAATTTATCCCTGTGGGAAGTCAGTGTACTTTTAGCCTTGGAACTGCTAAAAGCACCTTGGGACTTCCATCTCACAGGTGGAAGCAGATTCCCCAGTGGAATACAACCAGAATAATTATCATGAGGGTAAAGGCAGGCACAGCCAATACCAGGAGAACCCAAACTCACCAAATGTGGCAAGGCCACACACTCTCGTGACGTATTTTTTCTTTGCTCTGGGAATTTTAGCTATTGTAACTTTCTGTGGTACAGTCTTCTTCTTCTGTTTTATCTGACCTCTTCCACCTTTAAAACAGAGCAGAAGGTTACATGATTAATTAAATAAAGGTTACATGGTTAATTACATCATAGTTCATCAAAGAAAAAAGCATACAAGGTCAGATTTTGCCCCTATAAACAAAGAAGCTGTTAACTCCCCAACACTGTTGGTAAACAAAAATGTATTTTGCACATTGTCTGAGATTGACTATTATTTAAGAAAGATCCCACATTTAAGTCCAGTATTATGGGAAATACATGTGAAATGTGCATTCAAGCACAGGTTGCACAGCAGACCACCAATACAATCAGCAAAAAAGGGCTTTTCCCCACTCTTTACCAATCACTGTGTTTAGTATAGATTTACATAACTCTGGAAATAAATTTTTCTTTGATATTTTCCACAACTATTTTAACATCCCCATGGTTTGTGTCTGACGCAAAGCAAGCAGCTCATGCCCATTTCCTGAGGCCACAAGGTCTTGCTTTGCCCAGGCAGCAGATCAAGTTCTGGACACCTGTGCACGACCCCACAGTGAACCAGGCAGGGAAATGTGAGCCAGGAGCCAACCCCAGACTCTGAGAGCACCCCAACCCCACTGCATTTAACACCACCACCTTTCCCCTGCCTGCTCCTAGGCCAGCCTGTGGGAACACTCCCCATTTCAGGCATTTCTGAGTCAGAGTAAAGCATGAAAGATGTACATTCCACTCATTAGGATTCTTCAAGCCAGATTAAGATCTCAGCTAACTCCGTGTACAGTCACCATGTTATTCCAGGGTAAGCACAGTTTCATGTTTCTGAGCCTTCTCAACATGAAAACCTAAAGAATTTATGACAAGTAAACCAACCCCTGTGGCTGTTTCTGTTTCTAACATGCAGCACTTCCAATTCTGTTTTAATATAAACTGGTGTCTGATAATTTTTAGACAGTAAAGTTCTGCCTTAAATTTCCTTCTGTGAGTTTCAGCAATGTCTCATGAAGTTTGTGCTTGTTTTCCCTCACACTCTTATGGTCACTCTTACACCATGCTACTTAACACCATGCTCTAAGTCTTCATGGAACTTTAGATTCTAGGAGAAAAATCACCAAATATTTTAAATTCTTATTTTAAAACCAAATACCAGACTGAAAACTAATCAGACCACCCCTCACAACAAATTAATGTTGAAATAAAATGTCCTGAAATCTCTGGGAAAAGCATCCAAGTTACAGAACATGAACTACTGTTGTCACTAGACCTTGCCTGCTGAGAAGGTAAATTAAACTGGTTACCAAGATACCAAAAATAAAACAAAAATATATGTGCCATAAAATATGAAACTACTGGATATTAGCCATAATTTCTGGACCATTACACAGAACTGACACTGCACAGGCAAATACACATTAACAGCTCCAGAACTCTGATTTATGGTGGAAAGCATGTTAATTAATTCAGCAGAAACAGCTCCAGTGATTGAAAATAAAAGTGTGCTTAAATTGTTCCACATAACTTCATATCTTCCAAAGTTTTGAGAATGTTTTTCGTTAGCACTGCTGGGAGGAGACACAGCTGCTGATGGACACACAGGTAACAGATTTAAAAGCACAAATCCAAATCCTGCTCTGTGAACACAGAGAGGTGGAAGGAACAAAGGCAGAGCAGAGTCAGGAGGCATCACCAGAGGGGAGCAGCCTTTGTTCCACTCTGCAAGCAGCCCATAAAGTGCTGCTCAACAGGGCTCAGCATTCTGGGAGAAATGCCAGCTGATCCCAGCTGGGGAGGAGCTGCTCCCTGAGTGTGACAGTGGTGACAGGAACCGTGGGGCACAGGGAGCAGGTCACCCCACCCTGCCTGTCCCTCCTGTCCAACATTTCATTGGCACACACCACAGGGAGGAAGATATTCCATATTTATTCCCTATACACCAAAATGCAAGGAATTTGTGCCCTGCTCCAGCCCAGCAGGTGAGAGAGGGATGCCCCAAACTGCTTTGAAATCAGTACCACAATCAACCATTTAGACCTTGCCTCTCTTTTGCTTCTTCTTCTCCTCTTCTTCTCCTCCTCCCACATTTCCTTGGCCTTCTCCAACCCCAGCTTCCTGTTTAGGTGAATTTTCTAAAATGCAGCAGAAAGGAGTGAGGGGAAAAAAGAACAAAATTAGTGATCAAACACCCACAGCCTTACAGGAACAGGAAGTAGGTAAAGTGATATTTTGATAAATCAGTAAACAATGCTGAAGGGCAGCAGCCTTTTGACTGATGCATGTTACATCTCCATTACAGTATTTGTGCAAATTAGACTCCTAAAAAGCCTCAGCTCCAAGCTACAGTGACAATTTCAATAAAGGCCCTTGCACAGAGAGACAGAAATTAATGATAATGTTAATACTGAAATTCCCAATGCAAACAAATAAGTTCACTATCATTAATGACCTTTCCTCCAGCCATCCACTGTAGACTGGAAATACACAAAATCCAATAAACTAACTCTGATGGGAAACAAGTGCATAGATGTTTATGGCAGGAATCTTAAGAAACGCCAAATATTATTAATAAAACTACAAATTGATTATTTAGTATTTTTTGATATCATAAAACCTATTTCAGAGCATCCAAAGCATTAACTTTCACAGGATACAGCAGGAAAAGGAAAGAGATCAGAACTGGACAAGCTCAGATTTTTCCAAATATGTCTAAGGACACATATCAGTTAGAAAACAGAAAAGACTCTTACCTACTGTAAGTTTTGCAAACTCATCTGGAAAATTCTTTTCTAACCATTGTCTGCATTTAGTCACATCAGGCATGTATTCACAGTACTAGAGAAAAGCCATATGAATGTTGTTAGTGGAGGAATGACAAAATACATCAGAAATACACCAAAATAGGACATAATAGGACAGAAGGAAACTTGGACAACAAAAAATTACTCACCTCTGTTGGCAACGAACAGACTGCAGAAAGAAGGGGGAAAAAAAAGAATAGATTACAAAAGGAATTTTTTACTTTTTACTTACAGCCTTAGTAATTAAATTCCAAACTGTGTTTCAAAGTCAGGGATGGGTTCTTACATAACTCCTGGTTATAACCACACACTGACTCAAAAACATTTCCTTATTGTTGCCACTCCACATTTTAATTCCTCTCTCATTAGACCTGTGCTCACACGCTCTGCATTAGGGTAAAACCATCACAGCAAGAGCTGCCAGTCACTGAGGGAAGGGGAGGAGAAGCCCAAGGTCGGGAAAAGCTACAGAACAAAACACCACTTGTACCTGAGGCAAAGGAGACACTGAACAAGGCACCAGGTGGTTTGGTCAGCTTTCCCTTCTCCAAGAGCTGCCAATGTCCCAAAGAGGGGACAGCCAAACCAACTGTGCAGGGCTGGTTCCTACTGTTTTCCAGCCTGAAGCAAAATGACATTCCTATCTAAAACACACCTGCCAAGACAATTTACTTCCCTTTAAATTTCACCCATATAACTACAAACAGAATGAGGAAAGAACACTTCTAAGCACAGTACAGTTTAACGTATTCCATTTCTTGTTATCATATTAATGCTCAGAGTTTTTCTGTGCTAAAGGCTTCCTGCAGGAAGGGATGTGTGCTCCCAGTCTTGTCCCAGGGATGTCCCATTCCTGTCCCTGTCCCAGCACTTGCCTCCACAGTAGAGCACCCTCAGGGGATAATCAGCATCGGACCTGGCTCCGCTCCTGCCGTCCCCTCTGCACTCAGGGACCACGGGCTCGGCCACATCCGTGGCCATGTCACCAACCTGTGGGGCACAGGGGACACAATCAGCACCCAGGCTCTGGGTCTGAGTCAGTCACAGCCCTCCCAGCTCCAGAATCCCAGAGGAAATAGGGACAAGTGTCAAAGAGAAGGAGAGGAAAATGGGAGTCAAAAATAATGAAAACATGGGGAAAACTGCTACAAAGCACACCAAGCAGTATTGGAGCTCTAGCACATAAGGGGAAAGAAGCCAAAGTGTCACAAAACGAAGAACAATCTTCCAGAAACCCACATGGAATTAGAGAACACGCTGGGTTAAGGACAGTTCAGTGAAGTATCATGTTAAATCAGCGGCACACAAACAGTGGGGGCACTGGGGGCAGGTACCTCTTGCATATTAGCAAAGCAAAGGGGTCATTTAAATCAGTGCCTGAAGAGCCACAATCTGATCCAAGAACACTGGGGAAAAAAAACAGAGCACAAAAAAAGGAAAGCAAAGTCAAGCCAGTAATGGATGTAATAGTGGTTTACACACACGTTTTCAAGCAAGACACTTAGATGACAGAAGTCAACAAGGAAAGAGTTTGGAACACACAGGAAATCCCCCAGGACTGGGGGAACAAACAGGGCATGTGTGAGGAGCTTGGGGTGTCGTACGAGCCGTGCTGAGCAGCGAGGAGCGCTGAGGGAAATTCCCGAGGCTCAGGTGGGCTCAGGACAGAGGGACAGGGACAGATGGACAAGTGAGGTGCTGAGTGTTCGTGAGACCCCACACAGGCCCGGGGGGCGCTCGGTGCTCCGGGGGCAGAAGTGAGGGCGGGTCGGGAAGGGTGCTGGGACACCGGACACGGCGGGGATCACGGACACGATGGGGATCACGGACACGGCGGGATGGGGGAGCGGGGGGATGCGTGAGGGCAGAACTGAGGGGATGAGGAGCTGAGGGGATGGGGGGAGCCGGGGGGATGCGGTTCGGGTACCTGAGGAGGGGCTCGCAGGGCGGGGCGGTGCCGGGGCTGACGGTACGGAGGGCGCCGGGAGGATGCTCGGTACAGGCACCGGGGGGATCCCTGCGAGGGGCGGCGGCGGCGCCGCGGCTCCGGAGGAGAGGGAGAGGGCGCGTGCGGGAGCCGCCCGGCGGGGGCTGAACGGAGCGGGGCGGGGGGCCCGGGGGCGGTGTCGGTGTTACCAGAGGCCCCTCGGGCCGCGGCGGGTCCCGGTCCCTCACCGCGCGCGCACGTGCGCCCGCCCCAGCGCCGCCGTCTCGCGAGAGGGGCGTGCACGGTTTGACCCCGCCGGCCCGCCGTACCGCGGCGGGCGGGGCCATGCGCTGAGCCGTCACGGGTTCGGCCGAGCTACGGGGCGCCGCAGCGGCCATTCCCCGCCGGGCCGCCGCAGCCATGCCCCGGTACGCGCAGCTGGTGATGGGCCCGGCGGGCAGCGGGAAGGTGAGCGGGGAACGGCGGGGAGCGGCGGGGAACGGGGGCGGCGGGAGCCCCGTGACGGCTCCTGACGGCCGCGTGTGCCTTGCAGAGCACGTACTGCTCCACCATGGTGCAGCACTGCGAGGCGCTGGGCCGCGCCGTGCAGGTGGTGAACCTGGACCCGGCGGCCGAGCTCTTCAGCTACCCCGTCATGGCAGGTGAGCGACCCGGGCACGGCGGGGCCCCGGGCGCGGCGGGGCTTCCAGCCAAGCCCTGCCCGTGCCACCGGACCGGTTCTGTGCGTCTAAAACGGAGCCCGTACAGCAGTGGGGGAAGATGTGGGAAAATCGTTTCAATAAAATACGGTGTGATCCTTAAATCGGTGAATAATTCTAGTCTGGTAGCAAATAGTGCTCAGAGATGTCAGAGATGAACGCACTCCAGTACCAGGGATACCTCCCCGCATCAGAGGCTGCTGCCCTGTGCCAGCTCCTGCTCAGTCCCTGTATTTACCTATACCATGTACTGGCAGATGCCTCAGCTTTGAGAACAATAACAGTGTTTGTGTCTGAACAAAGATGATAAGAAAAGTGCATCTTGACATGGCCACACAGCTGAGATACTCTCAGAAGAGATTCATCTGGGGAATGAGATGTTCCCCAGACAATCACCAGGAACCCTCAAAAGAACCCCCCAGACAAGTCCTGGGAAGTATTTAGCATATATTTACTTGGGGAATTAAGGCATTTGTGTAAGTTTCATGAACATAACCTGTTGTGTTTGGCTGCTGTGCCTGTGCCAGGGAGATCCCCCTGTCCCTGTTGGTTTTCTGAGCTGCCAGACTCCCTGCAGAGCCCATTCCCAGCCCTGCAGAGCCCATTCCCTGCCCTGCAGAGCCCATTCCCAGCCTGCAGAGCCCACTCCCTGCCCTGCAGAGCCCATTCCCAGCCCCCAGAGCCCATTCCCAGCCCCCAGAGCCCATTCCCAGCCTGCAGAGCCCATTCCCTGCCCTGCAGAGCCCATTCCCAGCCTGCAGAGCCCACTCCCTGCCCTGCAGAGCCCATTCCCAGCCCCCAGAGCCCATTCCCAGCCCCCAGAGCCCATTCCCAGCCCCAGAGCCCATTCCCTCCCTGCAGAGCCCATTCCCTGCCCACAGAGCCCATTCCCTCCTTGCAGAGCCCATTCCCTCCCTGCAGAGCCCATTCCCTCCTTGCAGAGCTCACTCCCTGCCTTTGGGGCTCTTTGTGTGTCGCAGACATCCGTGAGCTGATAGAAGTGGACGATGTCATGGAAGACGAGTCCCTGAGGTTTGGCCCCAATGGTGGCTTGGTGTTTTGCATGGAATACTTTGCCAATAACTTCAGCTGGCTGGAGGAGAGCCTTGGGCACGTGGAGGATGACTATGTTTTGTTTGATTGCCCAGGTAAGCACACGCCAGTGTTTTGGTATCACTCTTCATAAGCATTGGAAAATTTGACTGTTGTGATAATTCCCATTTTGTTGAGCTGTTAACAGCTGTCAGAGTCACTTTCAGGTGTCTCAGGAGCAAACTTGATCCTGGGCTGATCTGGGTGACTGCACAGATGTTTGGTAGCATCATCAGCTGTGGCTACTGCAAACTAGCACTAACTGGAGACCAAAGGAGGAAAAAACCCCTTTTATTTTTTTTCCATTTCACCCAAACACAGAGCTGCCTGAAAAGAGGGTGCTTTCCTCATCAGTTTTTATTTAAATGCAGTTCCCCTGTCTACATATAACTGTGGATTGTTCCTGTTTGCTTCACATTCCAACTTGTTAACATCCTGAGTGTGCCCCAGGTCAGATCGAGCTCTACACACACCTTCCAGTGATGAAGCAGTTGGTGGAGCAGCTGCAGCAGTGGGAATTCCGTGTCTGTGGAGTTTTCCTCGTGGATTCTCAGTTCATGGTGGAATCTTTCAAGGTATCCATTTGAAATCTGTTGATAAAGTTCATTTTTATAAAGAACAACAAGTCTGAGCCATTCAGGGAGCTGGGTTTGCCCAGAGGAAAAAATTGCCAGGTCCAGGGAGATGTGGTTGCTGTCATCAGCTGCCTCAGGCACAGGACAGGCCCAGATGGATGGACAGACAACCAGCACTGTGAGAGTGCTCAGACTGGGACAGGCATTCACAGAGTCAAAATCTGACTGGGCAAACCCCAGAGCAGCCTGGTCTGACCTGGAAGTGCTTCTGTTTGAGCAGTTGTGGGAGCCAGGTAACCTCCAGAAGTCCCTTCCAACCTAAATTCTTCTGTGATTCCACGAGAGCTTTCTCAGACCCCAAGAACAAGCAGGCCAACTTCCCCATTTAGCAGTAACTGTCCCAAGAAGGATTTGGGTTTTCTTAATGACCTTTTCAGTGGCAGATTTGAGGTTCTAAAAATTGAGGGGGTATTCGGCACCTCCTTTTTCCAACAGAGAGAATGATTCCTCACATGGCTTTGTGTCCATGTTCCATGTATTCCTGACCAGATTTGGCCTGTGGTCATCCTGCATGTTTGTGTTGTGCTTTTCTGTACTTTAATACATCATTTTTCATCCTCTTCAAGTTTATTTCTGGAATCCTGGCAGCTCTCAGTGCAATGATATCTTTGGAGATCCCACAGATTAACGTCATGACCAAAATGGATTTGCTGAGCAAGAAAGCCAAGAAGGAAATAGAAAAGTAAGTTCCAAAAAATTATTTACTCTGTAGTACAACTGAGGCAAAGTTCACTGAAAGTTGAGTCTAATGTTTCCCACAATTAAAACATACTCTTTTGGAGTGGGAGAAGATGGATTTTGTTTATTTCAAACAATAGTGTTTAAACATCTGGGTAAGATGCTTAATTTAGTCAGAGTCAAAAGAATAGCTCCATGTTTGTACTGATCTCTGGATTTTTCTGTAAATAATTTATCTTGGATCTTTTGTGTCATTCTGAATGACAGCCTTTCAGTGGTGATGATGACTTTGTTTCTCCAGGTACTTGGATCCAGATATGTATTCAATGATTGAAGATTCTACAAATATACTGAAAAGCAAAAGGTTTAAAAAGCTGACCAAATCTATATGTGGATTGGTAGGTACATTGCTTTTGAGCTGGTGCCCTAAAATTCACTATCACTTTTTGCCTCTTTTAACTCAGTTTTTTATTTTTTCAGACTAGCATGAGATTCTTGATACTACTGATATGATACTCTTGATATCTGGATTATAGCCAATACATTTTCTTTGAATTCTTTTCTGTTGGCAATTTTGGGAATTTGCTGCTGTGTAGAACTCAGGATTGATAGCCAGGTGTTCTGAGGAGGGAATTGCCATTGGTTTGCAGTGTGACTAAATGGTATTTTAGAAGTCAGGAAAAGAGTGGCTTTGAGGGCTGTGATTGAGAATGAACTTTGTGCATTTCCCTGCATTTCCCTTGAATCCTTGTGCAGATTGATGACTATGGCATGGTTCGGTTCCTGCCTTTGGATCGCTCTGACGAGGAGAGCATCAACATCGTCCTGCAGCACATCGACTTCACCATTCAGTACGGAGAGGATCTGGAATTTAAAGAACCAAAGGTAAGGGACTGTTGGTGAGAACATAAAAAAATAAAAAGTATCCATAATAGAACTTATGATATAAATATGTTCTCTGCCATGCTCATAAATTATTGTCTTAGCACAGTTCCAAGTAAGCCATGTTTAGTCTTTCAGTGACAACGCTTGTATCATTTTCATTTAGTTATAAAAATGAAATTCTTTAATATCATCTTGCATATGCAGGTTGATCAAATGGTTGTTTAAAAGTATTGCTTTGATTTTCAAAATTAACAGAGTTTTAGCCTTCAAATGCCAGAAAGGACCACTGAGATCACTTTGATGTTTTCCTGCATGACTGTTCAAAGTCTCCTAATGATTCCTGTGTTCATCCCAGGAAGGTTTATATTTTTCTGTGTTTTTTTTTACAGGAATGTGAAGAAGATAAATCTCCTCTTGTG